CATTATTCCCCCTAACGGCTATCATGTTTTCAAAATGACAATAAAGTCCTTCCGTGTAAAACTTCCTAGGCCTCGAGATATCTCTGGTGATATCTACCCCACACATACCCTACACCTGCCCCGATCATATCCATATTATAATTCTCAAGTGCTACTACAATTGAGCCTTCCTTATTCTAGGCATTGCTCAAGCTAGAGAGAGCACTTGCAATTCTACCCTGAAAAACAGTTTTTTCTATTTATCCTAGTTTCTATAACCTGTCCTCATATATTCTTAATTTCTAAAGATGAACCTGTAGGGTTCATCACTGGCGGTGGATACCTATACTCTCAAGTAGCACATGCATCCATCCGTCCTGTTGTTTCACGGTGCAAGAAATGACCTAGGGAGAGCAATGATCCACTGGGAAGGCATACGTAAATTTACATAAGGAGGATCTGATACTCTTCTTTACATGTAGAATAAGGTATTTTAAGGAGTTAAGTGGGTTTGAATATTTAAACTCTGAACAGCCTTTACAAAGTGTTCTCCAAATTTAAAACAATATTCCATATGCAAGTCAGAATCTTAAAGGCTTGTTTTCAACGGCTGCTTCCGGCCTGTGGAGTATAAAAAGTGTTTTAACCAATCACTTCTAAAAGCATACATAGAGAGAAGAGCTTCAATGTAGATATCAGAAGAAACATAAAAGAAATATATGAAAGGATGACACTGTGATGATAAGAAATAGTAGGTTGTAAGACTTTTCAAGTAGATTATGCAGAAACTGACAGAGCTTCTGTTTATATTCCACAAATGATCCACTAAGCAGATTTCTATCTTCATGGTAAGAAAAAGTGTTGAAAATGAGGTCAGTAGGTCTGAGCACAGGTAAATTATAGCATTCTCTGCCATTTTAAAGTGATTTCAGAGAAAATATATTTCTTTATCTACCACACTACACTAGCATTGATGAAACTAATTATAAACAAAGAATCATAGACCCTTCTCAACTGACTGACAAACTTTCAACTGAGCACAAGTGTCCTGATGACATCACTGAACTAGGGTTTCCTAGCTTCTGCTTTCACCTTTTAGGGGACAAGGAACCTATTCCCACATATTACACTAAAACTGTCTTCCCTTTGACTCTCAGCCAATGTTGTAATAGAAAATCAGAATGCATTCTTTGCCACAGAGTAGCACTTTAAATGTATACAACAGTCACCCAGCACCAAGTCATTCAGGTTTAGACAATCCCTCAGTTCCCTCAACTATTTCTCAGATGAAAATGTCTCCTGGACTTTTTAAAATCTTAATAAATGACTCAATGTTTAACAAACTTCTATTATCAATATCCTTTGAAGTGGATTCAGAGGGGCACTTGGGTGGCACAATCAGTTGAGCATCTGACTCTTGGTTTTGGCTCAGATCATGATCTCAGGGTCGTGAGGTCGAGCCCCACGTCAGGCTCCATGCTCAGCATGGAGACTGCTTGAGGTTCTCTCTTTCCCTCTGCCCCTCCCGCTTGTGCACTCTCTCGCTCTCTCTCTCTCTCTCTGAAATACATAAACCTTAAAAAAAAAAAAAAAAAAGAAGTGAGACTCAGAAATAGACAAAAGAATCCATGTGGGGTCTGACCAGAGAACAAGGAGCTAGGAATTATTCAGTTGATCTGGAATCCTACACATATGAATTTAGTCAAAGATTGCATTAGTTTTATTTTAGTAACTGTGAGATACTAGAAAATATATATACTGGTCTCTATCCTTGGTTCTTGACACAGAGTTCCTAAATCCCTTGGAATTTCCTGGGTAATAGGAATATTTTTTTGTTCTAATGAGGTGACTCTGGGTGGGCTTCTGGATAGAGGCTGGTCACCAGAAAAATTACCCCATAATTAGAAGCTTGGAATTTTCAGCCCTTCCCCCACTGTCCACTCTGGAGTTCTCCAGAGAGCAGAGAGGGACTAGAAATGGAGTTAATAACTGGTCATCCCTATGTGAGGAAGCCTCCACAAGAATCCCAAAAGTATGGGGTTTGGAGAGCTTCCAGGTTAGCAAACATATCCACATACCAGGAGCGTAGTGTATCCCAACTGTACAGGACAGAAGCTCCTGTGTTCAGGACCCTACCAGACCTTGCCCTGCGTATCTCTTCCTCTGACTATTCATCTGTATCCTTTATCATATCCTTTAATAAACTAGTAAACCCAATCCCTGAGTTCTCTGAGCTGTGCTAGGGAATTCACTAAACCTGATGAGGGGCTTGTGGGAATTTGTAGCCTTCTCAGACAGAAGTTGTAGGTAACCTGAGGACCTACTACTTGCAAAGAGTATCTGAAGTAGGGGGCAGACTTGAGGGACTGAGACCTTAACACGTGGGATCTGACACTATCTCCAAGTAAGTAGTTTCAGAATTGAGTTAAGTTGTAGAACACCCACTTGGTGTCAACAAACTGCTTGGTGTCAGAAACCTCACATATCTGGTGTCAGAAGTACTGTGAGTATGGCAGTCGTGTGAGTAAAGGAGAAACTCAGGAGGGGTCTGGAGGTTTCTCCAAGTCAGTAACCTAGGTGTAACTTGTTTTGTGAGTTTCTCTCCAAATAAAACACTTGGATCATTTTCATCTGACATTCTGTGAAAAGGCATTTTTAAAACTTTTAACCTATTTTTTTCTATGAATGCTTTCTTAGTAGTTTAGGATTTTCGACTCCTTCCTTTCTGATTGTAATGGACATCTCCAGATCTTCACATACTTCACACTTACCTCTACCATTTGAGACAATCTTGGCTGTAAATTGGAGAAGCCAATGAATTGACTGAACTGGGAAATGAGCATGTGCTCCAAAGCCCCCCTCTTTTTAAGCTGAAAACAAACAAAGAGATGACATTTTTATCAAGTGGTGAGACTAAATGATGCCGGAACCATCATCGCAGTGTGCCCTGTATGAATAAAACTAGTCTGTGAAAATAACTCTGTGATGAAAGGCAAGACTCACTTTGGCCATGTTCAAAATACTGCTTCCAACTGTCCCTGAAGTTTAGCTGTACCCTTAGGTTCTCCATGGGTACATGAGCTAATAAATTCATTAAAAAGAAAAAGAAAAAGTCACTTTGCCAAAAAAACAAGTTCTAACTTAAATATAGATCTTTCTATGTAAAGTTTTTACTTATTCCTCCTGCTCAACTTCTGTCTTATATTAGCTTTCTACTGCTGCTGTAACATAAACATGGTGCCCTAAACAATACAAATTTATTATCTGACAGTTCTGTAAGTCAGAAATCCTACATAAGTCTCACTGGCTAAAATGAAGGTGTTGACAGAGCTGATGAGGGAACAGAAGGCTGGCTGAATCTTTCTTGGTTGTCAGCTCAGGACCTCACTCCACCGAACCTCACCTATATCCTAAAACCACATCAGAGCTGTGTTCCTTTCTGGAGGCTTTAGGGAAGAATGTTTTCTTAACTTTTCTAGCATCTAGAGACATCTGTATCCCTTGACTCAATTCTCCCTTCCTTCATCTTCAAAGGCAGCAACACTGTCTCTCTGTGACCATTCCCCTGAGTCACATCTCTCTCTGACCCTGACCTCAACTGGGAAAGGTTCTTTAAGGATCTGTGATTAAGTGGGACCTATCTGGTTAATCCAGAATAATCTCCTCATCTCAAAGTCCTTAATTTTAAGCACATGTAAAAAGTCTCTTTTGCCATCTAATGTAACATATTCACAGGTTCTGGAAGTTTAGGCATGAACATCTTGGGAGGGTGTGGGGGGTTATTATTCTGCCTACCACTAAAAATGAGACCATCATTCCATCTCTCACATCATTCCATTCAGCAATAAAAATATATTAAACAGGAGAAGCTAGACACTTTCGACATTAATAGCAGCCTGTTAATCAACATTATCTGGGAACAATTGTTTAATTTAAAATGACTCCTTCAAGATCATTTTTTTCTGGAAAGGAAATTTTTGCTGCTTTTATCTTTTTTCTGAAGATGAGTTTGAAGATTGTTACTGGATTTATCCAGCACACACTCGGAATGCAATCTTTGAAATGTAGAATTAAAAGTATTTTCATACCCACATACTTGAAGCCCGAGGCTGCTATCATTCCTGAGTATAGAGAGTCAACACAGCATCTCTCTTTGTTTTACTAATTGCTTTGTTTCCCCAAGCTGCTAGCACAACATCTGCCAGGCCAGAATGCACTCCTTCCACACACCACAGAACCACTGCGGGCCAGATAAACGACCTACACTCCATGGTGTCAGGGCAAGTGCTTTCCAGGTACTCAGCAGGCAGTTTTCAAGAGGCAAAGACTTCAAGGGGAAATGAAGCCGAAACCCCTCCCCTCCCAAAACCTTTCCAATGGTTATGGAGTTGTTGATTCTGTTATGATCTCACACTGTCTGCAATTTTATTGATTTTGTTTTTCAATAGAACTGTTAAAGATTATAATCCTCAGATAGGCAGAATGTGGGCAGATGCTCATATGCTCACACACAGTTCTGCCAAGATATTTTTACATCTTTCTGCACATAAAACAAAATGAAGACATGTGTTATAGATGCATGCTACTGGTAAACCCCCCCGAAGAAGGGAGTTTATTGTATGCTCATTTCCTGGATGAAGTATTAAAACAACTCTACCTAGAAAAAAGAACAGCACTTCCAAAATAAAAGAGATTTGCTTCTGCGGCACCTTATAAAACATTCCTAATTACCAAAACCCATTGAGACAGCAATTTGGGTCATCATATCCAAATGTCATCCCTGCTATTTCTAATTCAATACAAACTTCTTGTCATATCTACTGGTTAAGCATCAAAATACAAAATGCTGCAACAGCTTATGCTCTGTTGATGTTCATTCATCTACTGTGCATCAGAAAGGCTCATTTCAAATATGGCATGAAAGAAAGAAAAGTAAGCAAAAAAGAAACTCGGAAGAGACTTGAAATAAATTGTCTCAAGAAAAATGCCAAAAAGGAAAAACTACAAAATCATAGCCTTACCTTGGGAGACTTAGGCAGACCCACAGCCCTGTTCTCTGCTAAGGTGAGCGGGGTTAACTTTGTTTCCTCCACTGAGGGATGTTTGGGAGGGCGAGGTGGGGGGTGGGAGAAAGAGGCTTCATATCTTCGCATCATGTAATACTGTTCTTCGGTGATCTCTTCAACCAGAGTCCTGACTAGAACTGATCCTGTGTCCCTAGAAAAACTATTAACTAACTGAACAGTCATATTTAAGCGGCTGACAGGAATTTCCCAGCACTCCCTGGGGTTGGCAAAGTCACTTATAAGTAGATAGGAGTCTGTGATAGCTTCTTCCAACCGCAGTCCTGGTGTAGCAGCCAAAATGTCTTCTTCAATGGAAAGATCTCTCACAGATACCTTCACGTTGAAGGGCAAGCGGAACTGCGCACAGAGCTCAGAAATCTGGTACTGTTTCTTATCATGAATCACCTCTACAAAACCTCCTTCCATGTACAAAGGGAGCAGTGTTGCCTCATAGGATTTTTTGAGGATTTTTTCACAGGCCAGAACATTCACCACTTTTTTGATTCCCTCACAAAGGACTTCAGTTGTCTGTGAGTGATGCACTAGAAACTGGTCCCCAACAGATACGGATGACAGCTCATCATGAGGGGGATGAAAGGCTTTGGTGGCCACCACGTGGAGAGGCTCCTTTTCACTCTTTGCTATCTCAAGGTCATAGGCAGTTGGGAACTCCCGGGGTCGCCGCTTGAATTTGCCTTTATAGCTAGTGGGGATCAAGAAGTGCCTTTTAGGAAAATTGCTTCGAATTTCTGAAGCTAAGATCCTCGATGCCTGGTACTTTTTGTGAATCACAATGGTCTTCCCAGGCTGTAAAATGCTTCTGGGAAGCTCCTTTCCTTGAGGTGCCTCTATGACTTCAGCCACTATGGGGAACTCCTTACTGGTCATTTCAAAGAGATCTTGTGTAGATAATAGCTGAAGAAACCAGTTGGCATCGTAACTGTCGGTAATGTCTTTGACTTCAACATCTAAACTGGGGAGGATGCGGACTATATCCTTTCGGACTGAAAGAAAAAAAAAAAGACTATGATATTTTGTCCATCACAATGTTGCTCTGATAAAGTATTAGAGTCTCTCCTGGTGCCATAGATAAATTCCACTTAAAAAAAATCAGATGTCCATGATATTTCTTATGTGTGACTTTCTTTTTTTCACATTTTAAAATGAAGTAGATCATATGTAAAATCAACACCCATAAACTCACTGCTCAGCTTGAAAAAGAGATATTAACCTGTCCCTCGGAGGCCTATGAAGCTTATCAAAATTTCACCTTCCTCACTACAACCTACGGATAACCATTCTCCTGATTCTAGAGTTAATCATTCTCCTGTTTTTTTAAATAGCTTTATCACACATAACATAGATAAATATATGTGCATGTTTATAAATGTATATCTGTGTGTATATATCTTTTTCAGAAGGTTTATAATATCTGAAGTCATGCCCTTGAGCTCTAGCCATAATATATGAAATTATCTTAGAAGAAAGTTTCAATACTTCAAGTAAGACCCTTCCTGCATAAGGCCCAAGACATATATTCTTTACACAAAATTCTATCCTCCTGCAGAACAACACTGCAAGATCATGGGATATAAGGTACTTAAGATTAATATATGGAAGTGAACAACAAGATGCAATCCTTTTCCAATGTGAAAGTTATTCTCTCTCCCCTGATGTTCCATTAACCTGGATAGAAAAGGAGCATCACAGGATGGGTCCCAGTCAGAGGAGCCATTCAGGAGCCTTAGGTATGCTGGCAGGGTGCTTACCAATGTATTCTTTGCCTAATGTGGCACTGGGGACTAATAAATCTCAAATTCTTTCTAAGCACCCTCTATCCTAGAAGTCTTTGTTTGAGACTACAGAGACACTGAAAATATTGTCCTAAAATTATTTATCTGCTGTACATGTACTATCCCACATAGATTGTTATAATGGTCTTGAATTAGAAATAAAGTTACTATTAACAGGGTTGTATAAAAGTTTATATTTTCTCGACAATTTCCTACCATGTAATGTTTTATAGCATTTTCACAATCCACTGCTGTTTCCCAATATCTCCAGCCACACTTCTGTCAATACACTTTCTTCCTTGCATGCTTTCGAAAACAAATAATTTGGAAGATTTTGAAAACAGAATTTCCTCTTTAAAAGCATTACCTGTGCTATTACTTTTTATATTATTAACTTTATGCAGCATCTGGAAACTGTAACTTTATAATTTGTGTCATATTACTTGCACATGTTGTGTAATAGAGTTCCTGAAGACATAACATGAAAAAGCATTATTTTAGGGGTGCCTGGGTGGCTCAGATGGTTAAGCATCTGCCTTCGGCTCAGGTCATGATCTCCAGGTCTTGGGATCGAGCCCCATGTTAAGTCCCTGCTAAGCAGGGAGCCTGCTTCTCCCTCTCCCTCTCCCTCTGACTATCCCCCTGCTTGTGTGTACTCTCTCTCTCTCTCAAATGAATAAATGAAACCTTTAAAAAAAGAGAAATAAAAAGTATTATTTTATATTCTTGAATAGAAGACAGAAAAAAAATCAATGGCTGTCTAGAGGATGAAGAGCTGTAAAAATTCTTCATTTAAAAAAATAAAAAGAAGACTAAAAGAACACTTCATCAATTCATTGTATAAAGTTTAGCATACCTAAATTTTTTTAGAAGATTTTATTTATTTATTTATTTATTTATTTATTTATTTATTTACTTATTTACTTATTTGACACAGAGAGACAGCACTAGCAGGGGGAGTGGCAGGCAGAGGGAGAGGGAGAGGCAGGCTCTCTGCTGAGCCGAGAGCCCAATGAAGGACTCTATCTAGGACCCTGGGATCATGACCTGAGCTGAAGGCAGATGCTTAACCGACTGAGCCACCCACATGCCCCCCATACCCAAACTTTTAAGATTGTTGTCATGGGCTTCCCTGCATCCCAAGGTAATTTTAAAAACTCTAAAATCTCAACAAGTTGGATAGAAATGAATGAGGTTTAAGAATTGTAAAACTAGCACTAGGTAAGCATCATAGGCTCATGCCATTTCTCAAGTTGAGGCAACAGTTAAACACTGGTAGAATGGATGTCATTAAGGACTTTCTGGGAGCTCTATATTGATCCATCAGAACATAGGGACCCTAATGTAACCTAGATCCCGATCTATATTTGGGCACTACAGGTATTGTGGGTACAATAGTCATTGGTTATTTTGTTGACCAATATATCCCAATGTCTTGAATGTTGCCTGGCACACAATAGGTACTAAATAAATGAATTGAATAAAGGAAAAACTACTGCCAGAATGATGTCCTTGATTGAGCATTAAAGGATGTGATCTATAAATAAGTAGAGTTCCACATAAAAGTTCACTGGGAAAAATAAATTTCTACTGCTAATGCTCCTGCTATACATCATAGAAGGTATTGTATATATCATTTAAAACATGCCCCTTTAGGTTGTAGTTTATCTTACTCAATGGCTTATTCAGTGCAATAACTATCTTTACTTTCACTGTTTAATTTCTATGAAACAACAATCTAGACATTTTAAGGTATAAAAATAATCATAGTGAACATGCCTTAGAAGATCCAGTAAGGAAAAATAGTACATGTGGTAAAAATCAACAACTCTTCTTTGATCCATCAGAAGATTGAGGTTACAGGGCAAACCATCACCCCCAAAATGAGAGAAATAGGTGAACATAGACTTACAGCTTATTGGGAGCAGAAACCACCACTGGATTCAACAACTAGTAAGAACACTTTAAGAGTAATTGACTACTTGCTGGAGACAAAGCCTAGATAAGCTTGAGAGATAAAACTTCTGGGGTCCAAGTTTAGCGGGATCCTCCCACACTTTCTTGTTTATTCCCAAGAGCACCACCAAGTTCTTAGGGTGAAGATCAGAGAAAAATCCCCTCATGCTTCTGGCAGGGTAATGGAAAAAGTCAGAGAATTCAGTTTTCCTTAAAAAAGGTCTGCCCTCAAGGAAAACTATTTTACCACAGTCTAACCAATCTGGGTTTTACCAGAGTTTAACTGATGTAGGGGAAGGGAAATACCCAACTATAACCTTCTCTATCTTTCCACATGGGGGAAAAGAAATACCCACCTCCAGCCCCCACTTGCCAATATTCTACCTCACTTAAGGAGGCATGCGGAAGAAAGCTGAGAAGCACTTGTGAAGGTCACGGGGCAACTAAAAGACTCAGACCTAAATACAGGATTATAGAATGCATCTCCTTCCTTACACCTTATTAACCATATCAATAAGACTTCTGTATAATAATGGGGGATTACAACTGAAGCATTTATATTTCTGTTTAAGAAGCGGCCTCTAGAAAAGACAACAGAGGAGACAAAAAACAAGGACACTGAATAAAATTTTAGCCTCTGACACCTACAGATACAGAAAACTGTAAACATGGACTAACTCACAGCTAGATGAACATAAAATCTCACATTAAAGGCTTATTTGCCTCAGTTTCTTTTATCTGACACATGTCTAGCTTTCAACAAAAAATTACGAAGTGTATTAAAAGGCAAACAAACAGTGTAGTCTGAAGAGACAAAGCGAAACTCAGATATGCAGGGATTTTGGAATTTTCAGACTGGGAATTTAGAATATGATTAATATGCTAAGAGCTCTAATGGAAGAAAATGACAGAAAGGATGGGTAATGTAAGCAGAGAGATGGAAACTTTTGTAAAGAATTAAAAGGAAATGTTAGGTGTTAAAAACATAACAGATACGAAGAATGACTTTGATTGGTTCATCACTAGACTGGACATGGCTAAGGAAAGAATCAGTGAGCTTGAAGATATACCAAGATATATCAATAGAAACTTACCTTAACTGAAAAGCAAAAGAAAAAGAATGAAAAAAATGGGACAGAATATCTAAGCACTGTGGGCTAACTACAAAAGGTGTAACATGCACACCACAGGGATGCCAAAAGGAAAACAAGAGAGAAAGGAACAGAAACAATATTTGAAGTAATAGTGGTGAAGAATTTTCCAAAATTGAGGAAGCTTAGAGAACAGCAAGCATGATAAATACCAAAAAACCTTCACCTAGGCATATCATATTCAAACTGTAGAAAATCAAAGAAAAGGAGAAAACCTGAAGAAGCCAGAAGAAAAAAAATCTTATCTCTAGACGAAGAAGGATAAAAATTAGATTGTACTTCTCTTCAGAAACTATTCAAGCAAGAAGAGAGTAGGTGGCATACTTAAAGTGTTAAAAGAAAAAGAAACCCACCAACCTAGTATTCTGCCTCCAGCAAAATTATCCTTCAAAAGTCAAGGGTGGCAGAAAATGCCACCCCAAAATAAATCACTTTGGCATCAAGATTATTTTGAGCTAAAGGCACTTGAAAAACAGCAGGTGCAAGAAGAGTATTCTAATGTTTCCTTTTCTTCCTGAAAACAGGAGATAAAACTCCCATGTGAAAGATGCACCCCCCCCCATTATCAGGAGAAAAGAAACATCCTTCTACAGGGAGTTAAAGCCAAGTGAATTCTGTCAAAACAGACCTTGTTAAAATAATTCTTACCTTTCTTTAGCCTCCCTACATAGTTTAGTTACTTCTCTGCAGTTGCCTCTTTTATTCAAACCTATATAAAAGCATGTAGGTTTTGCCATTTGAGGAGTCTTCATTCCCTTTTGAGGGCTCACCTTTCACATAAAGCACGTAAATCTGTCTGCTTTTCCCTATTTAATCTGTCTAATAAGTCAGTTTAATTCTCAGGCCCAGCCAAAAAGCCCTAAGAGATGATTGTCTCCACATATTTTTTTTAAACAAGTTTTGTCAATTCTAGCCCTGTAGTTTCTCTCAATTGCTAGTTCCTCCTACGTTATTATCTAATAATAATAATTCTTATATTTGTTGGAAATTTTCACTTTCTGTTTGATTTCTTTGTCATTTACTTTCTAAGATTATATTCTATTTTTCTCAAAAGTGTTTTTTTTTTAAAGATTTTATTTATTTATTTGACAGAGAGAGCAAGAG